TGTGTATATATGTATACGTATGTACATACAAGTTTACATGCACACATACATACCTTACTAGAAGCAGGTGTTTGTCTCTGTGCCTTTCCGCATAAAGTGCACATAGCATGGTAAGAATTTTAAACTTGCTACTTATTATACAAGACACTGCTGCACTTCTTTTCCGTTAATTCGTGCGACCTCGTGCAAATGTGAATGTCAAGCGCTTCAAACCAGTTCACTTGGCATCTTGTTCTTCTGTCTGCACAACGACAGACATTGTTATGCTTTGTTTTTTTTGTGCGGTAGTGGCAACATTTTGACAAGAGGTAAGGGTAGAAGTATTTGTGAAAGCAGTAGCAGTAGTAGAAGTAATAGTAAGAATAACAATAGTAGTAGGAACGATAGCAACAGCAGCAGCAGAAGTAGTAGTCGTAGTAGTAGTAGTAGTAGTAGCAGCAGTAGTAGTAGCAGTAGTAGTAATAGTAGCAGAAGAAGGTAGTATTGTCAGTAGTAGTAGTAGTAGTAGTAGTAGTTGTTGTTGTTGTTGTTGTTGTTGTAATTAGCAGTAGAGTAGCGGCAGTAGCAGCATCGTGGTAGTGGTGGTAGTAGTTGTAGTAGTAGAAGTAGAAGAAGAAGTAGTAGTAGTAGCAGTAGTAGTAGAAGTAGTAGGAGCATTAGTAGTAGTAGTAGTAGTAGTAGTAGTAGTAGTAGCAGCAGCAGCAGCAGTGGTGGAAGTAGGAGGAGGAGGTGTAGTAGTAGCAATAGAGGTAGAAGTAGAGTAGAAGTAGCTGTGGTAGTAGTAGCAGTATTTGGCATCGATTTCGGACCGCGGTGGGTTCACGTTTTCCCTGAGCTTGCCTTGTCAGCCTTGCACATTGAGTGGGCCTCGGTTCGGCGGTGTTGGTCTTACCGTGTGTAGCCTTCGTATTCAAAATGTAGCAATGGTCGTCGTCGTCATTGTCAATCGTCGTCGTTTCGTCATCCTTGTTGTCGTTGTGGACCTCGCCGGTTGCGTGGTAGTTGGCGTCCTCGTCCTCGTCCTCGCCGCCATCGTAGTAATACTGGTAGCAGTAGTAGTAGTAGTAGTAGTAGTAGTAGTAGTAGTAGTAGTAGTAGTAGTAGTAGTAGTAGTGGTAGTAGTAGTAGTAGTAGTAGTAGTAGTAGTAGTAGTAGTAGTAGTAACAGTAGTAGCAGTAGCAGTAGCTGCAGCAGCAGCAGCAGCAGCAGCAGGAGGAGTAGTAGCAGTAGCAGTAGCAGTAGCAGTAGCAGTAGCAGTAGCAGTAGCAGTAGCAGTAGCAGTAGCAGTAGCAGTAGCAGTAGCAGTAGTAGTAGTAGTAGTAGTAGTAGTAGTAGTAGTAGTAGTAGTAGTAGTAGTTGTGGTAGTAGTAGTGGTAATAGTAGTAGTACAGTAGTCAGCGTCGTCGTCGTCGTCGTGTCGTCGTAACAGAAATAGCCTGTAGTGCCTTCGAGCACAGTTTACAGCTTGCATGTTTTGTTCCTGCCACTTGATGCGGTTTTCCGAGTAATCCTCCACGAGGGCCCCTGAGGAGGAGGAGGAGGAGGAGAAGGCAGAGTGGAACAGATGAACCAGCTCTTCAAGTCTTGGTGGCCTCCGACATGATCGAACCCATTGTCGTGTTAAGCTGAGCCAGACGTCCTCACCCGGGCTGGAAACATGTTTGGCCTTCCGGCGTTGTGCACATTCACCCGGGATGGGTGCATGCTTCCGGTTTGTCCGGACATGTTGTCGGTCCCGAGCTAAACTCGCAATTAACGTCAGAACTAAGAACCTAAACTCTTTTTTGGGTTTCAATGTCAAGGCCTGCAGGTGCTCTTTCTAAATCAAACAGCAGCTCCTGTTGACGTCAGCTGCAGGCAGTTGCAGCGGTGAAGGCCAATGTGGACATGGAAGAGTTCATAAACATCCAGGACGAACTGAACGTTTGCGCTGGATGCTGCACTTACATCTCGTGCAGAAGCACGGACTGAATGATCGTAGTTAATTTGTATCTGCCGACACAAGGCTCAGCTATCTACTGAACGAATCGTAAACGGGTACTTGTAGTGCAGCTAATTACTTCAGGTGGACGTGCAGCGAGCTCCACCACCGCTACCCCTGCCCGGAGAGCTTTGCTTCACTAAGCAACCAGACACAGGCTTCACGCTCGTAGGATTCGATCGCCGGTTTTACGGTTTGCAGGGTCTAAAGCTTCCAACCCCTCCAAAGCTTCCACCCTATCAAGCCTCTAAACACTGAGACGGGCACCGTCGCAGGACAAGTGCGGAGATACTGCTCACCTGCCCAGATTTCGACTGTGCTGTGGCGTTCCAGAGGGCTGATCACCTTCACAACCGACATGTCCCCATCACCCGAAACGCTGTCACTCTTTTCGAGATAGGTTGTGGTGGTAGTAGTAGTAGTAGTAGTAGTAGCAGCAAGTAGTAGCAGAAATAAGTAGTAGTAGTCGTCGTCGTCGTCGTGGGAGTAGTAGTCATGGTCGTAGCAGTATTGTATCATGATGATCATTAGTCTTATCATTTCGTCGCGTGACTGCCAAGTATAGTAAGTAATAAGTAAGTGGTAAGTTGTAAGTTGTAAGTAGCAAGCAGCAAGTAGCAAGCAGTAAGTAGTAAGTAGTAAGCAGTAACAGGTCAGTAGCAGTGGCAGAAGCAGTACTAGCAGCAGTTGCAGCTATAGTAGTAGCAGCAGCAGTAGCAGGAGCCGGAGCCGGAGTAGGATCAGCAGTAGGCAGCAGGCCGCAGCTTGTTGTTGTTTCAGTACGCGTGCTCCACACTCCATCTGGCACCCGTTTTATCCCGCCACTCCTTAACCATTAAGTCCACCTATACCACCAAAGCGCTGAAACCTGAGAGCCCTAAAACTTCGCCAGGTCTTGACTCTGGCAGCAATCCAAGGCACAGGGTAGAAGCCCGTCATATCATGCAGGTCAGCCTCTTTGACGGGGCGTGATTTTGTAGTTGTGCTTTGTGAGTTGCGCAAGCTGCTGCTGCTGCTGCTACTACTACAGCTGCAACTGCTGCTGCTGCTGCTGTCGCTTTTGCTGTTGCTGTTGCTGTTGCTGTTGCTGTTGCTGTGGTTGCCGTTATTTCTCCCACCACTGTTGTTGCGGTGTTCCTGATGTTGGTGGCGTTCCTTGTTCTCCTTTGGCCTTTGGGTTTGAGCGTACAACTTGCGTTTACTTTGACTTGTATGTGCTGTCGCGCTTGGTTGGTGCACTTCTATCTTCAATCGTCAGTTCTGTGGTTTGCTGCTGGCAGGTTACACTGAAATCGTCGCGCTGTGTATTGAGCGGGAGGCTCGGCACTGCTGCCAGACATGAAGCAGTGCTGCTAACATGCATGTGTGCAACGAGTTCGACGTCAGACATGTCAAAGCTTATTTCTATAGGGCTGCAGTCACGAAGTTTCTCATGGCGGTTCTTGCGCACAGGCCTCACCGCTTGTATCTCATTCCTGCAGCATCTACTTTCGTTAATAGTTGTTGTCGCTGTAGTATCGCTGTTTGTCGGGTGTGCTCGTGCATCAGGGTTACCACTGGCCTGTAGCGCCAAAAGTTAGATCCTGAACTATAAGCCATAAGCTGAAGACCACGCGAAACTTAAGCCTCTTCCAATGTCAGTAGATAAGACCGTCGAGAACAAGAACAACGTGTTCCAGTAGCCAAGTGTGCCTCTGGATCTGGCAGGCAGACCTGGAAAAAAAGACCATCAAAGGTCGCACTGCCCTGATCCGAGCTCATTGCTGATCCCCCGCCCCGATTCCGTGGTGGCTGAAAGTAGGCACCGCTTCAACCTCTGGAGCGCTGATTCAAACTAGGGGGTCTCATTTACGTTTCGAGGTCGAGGCGTGTAGCAAGGTTTTGAAGTTCCAGGTTCAGCTTTTTAGGAGGAACCCTAACCCTGAGCCTCAAAGCGTCCAACTATCAGCCAGACGTTCAGCCCTCGACTCTTGCCCCCCAGCCTTTCAAGCCTGCAGAAAACTCCTAGCTTATCTTTGTTAGCTTTGTAAATGCCTCATAGACTAAGCCCTGAAATGCCGACCCCCCGAAGGCAGCCAAAAGCCCGAGACCGCTTGAGATCAGTCCCTAGACGGCTAAGGGGTTTTGGGCTTGGGCCTAGAGTTTAGGTGCAAATAACGGTAGCATAATGCAGAAACTCAAAATCCGAGGCTCACTGTAAGCCTCGTTTTTGCCCTACCCAAAGCCGAAGCACATAAACACAGAATCCTTCTGTTGTTCCTTCGCTGGGAACACTAGTACCGTCCTTCTGAAGCCCGTCGTCTCGGCTGCCACTTCAGAGTGCATGCTTGCAGCATCTGCGCACAACTTCAGCAGTTCAAAGCTTTGGCATACATGGTTGATGGTTTAAGGTCTGAGCTTTTTACAGATACTAGTCGCAAGGTTCACGGTTCAACCTTCTAACCGTCACAGTCTCCTGAAGCGAAATGCAAGTCCAAACGAGGGCACGGTTGCAAAGGGCGTGGCTTTTCTTCAGCAATGACCGAGTACGTCCTGGCTGCCAGCGATCATGGAATTCTGGGATCAGAACCTGAGCAGTTGATTCATCAAGCGTGTTGGGATTTGGTTCACGACGATCAATTCAATAAATCCCCCTAGGGAAGCCTAAGCAAAATCCCGAATGTCGGGCTGCAGTACACCTTGGAAACTCGACTGTGAAACAACTATGCCCAAAGGCATTCGAGCGCTGCAGCCCGAAAACATGAAGCCCAAGAGCGTTATACCCGGATGCCTTAAACCTTATTATCCCTAAAGCTCTCACCTCTAAATCCTAACTCTCAACCTTGCGATGTAGAAGCCTGACTAAGAAAACCCTGTTTCCGTATCGCAACACAGAAACCGGTTTGAACGAACGCCCCAGCCAGCATTTGTGTTGTTGGCCATGTTCCTGCTCTACAGACCCCAAGTCTCAAACCGTTTATTACGCTAACCCGAGACGCGCAAGTCCAATAGAATTAAGGCCATAAGGCTCCAAGCCCTGATGCGCTGTAAACCGTTTAAGGACCTGAGATCTGGCGCCTTCGTGGCCAACCTCGAAGATCCTGGCGGTGTTCAAGCGAACGCCTTCGGCTGCATCGACCCGGGAGGTGAACATGTCTTCGCGGTGCAAGCGAACAAGGTGGGGTTGGGTTTAAGGTATGGTAGGTGAATCTCGGAACCCCAATCATTAGTGATATCGCTACCTCAAACCGTGTTATGTCCTCCACAACTTCTATGTACCTGTAAACCAGAATTATTCCAAAAGGCCTTGCTACTATTCGTAACACTTGTCACAAGAAGAACGACGACGACTGCTACTGCTGCTATCCTCTTCGAACTGACTGGCCCAGAGTAGGGTGAGGCGTGTCAGCTCGTGAACTACGGAGCTCGACGAAGAAAATTGACCACGAACCTGGGGCTCAGGGATAAAAGCAGGGTTGAGGCACGGGGTTTGGGGCTTATTTGGGCCACGCTTTGGACCAGGGTTGAAGCTTAATTAATGCTGATGTTTCGTGTCGTCAGCTTTTGAAAGTCAGGAGGGTCAAAGCAGTAGACTTTACGGACCAAGGCTCTTTGGCAAGTCTGGGACTGGAGCAAGAAGCCAACTTACAGGGCGAGCTTGCCGGAAAAAATCACTGCGATGGCTTTCAGCCCAGATGCAGCACTCTGCTTTGCCGGGGCAGCGTCCGGTACACTGTATATTTGGATGATGAGCACAGGTACATTGCTTCGCTGTTGGCCTGCGCACTTTAGAGAGATCTCGCAAATCCTGGTATCAAGCGATGGTGGTTTTCTCGTCACTGCATCTGCAGATTCTGCAGTGCATGTTTACAATCTTGCAGACGTGCTTGGTGACGCGGGAGCTGCAAAACCATTCCACTCTTGGTCCGGACATTCTTTAGCGGTAACGTCTTTGGCATTTCTCGGAGGTGGCAGCACTCCTCGCCAGGTCGTGGCCACAGGGAGTCTGGACCGTTCTGTCCGCCTTTGGGATGTGGGCACTGGCAAGCCACTGCTCACACGCAGTATGCCGGCCCAAGTCCATGGTCTGAGCGCAGGACCTTCCGCATCCGAACTGTTTGTTGCTTCCGGCAATGGTGGTCTTTGCAGCCTTGCAACATCCAACTTTTCGCAAGACAGCTGTCCATACATTGGTCACACTGGAGCTGTGCACAGCTGTGCAACTTCTTTCGACGGCAGTCGTATTGCATCGTGCAGCGATGTAGATCGTGTTCGGGTATGGGAGACGCGAACCCGACAGTGTGTGGCACAACTGCATGCAAGTCGAGATGTCAAGATTTCGGCCGTCCGAATAGTGCGCAAGTTGCCCCAGATGTGTCTGGGCCAATCTTGGGAGTGAGCTGCAAACCTAAGTATTGGTATAGTCTCGGTACAGTCTCATTATTATAGGAGAGAGAAGTAGCAGTCTTCAAGTATTTAGTATGAGTATTTAGAAGGCACCCTGAACCTGAAAGCCTTTGCAACACCGTTACAAATCTCCTGCGATTCCTTGTAGAGCCCTATCCCCAAAACCCCATGCAAAATTTGAAGACGAAAACCAGGCCTGGGCTTCCGCCTTTCCAGCCCTTCCAGCGCATGCTCGTGGCAGCTCACGAGATGCCTTCGGTCTCACGATGCTGCTGGGCTCTGATAGCCTCAAGTCTTGTTCTACCTGGGTTAAAGCAAACGTTGCTATGAGGGCTTCACTTCTATAAGGGTTCTACAAGTGTTACCCTTGAAGGGTTGAAGGTTTAGGGTTTGTTTGCAGCGGCCTTTAGCTGTTGTAAGGGTCCTCTAATTATGTCCCATTTCGTAACTATACAGGTGTCTATGGAGATTTTGTTGCAGGGGTGTGCTGGGCTTTACGGTTGAGGGTCTGTGTTCTAGGCTCCAGGGTTTTGAGGTTCTAGCTTGTTTTTTGTGGATTCAGGGAAATTAAGGGTTGTACTGTTGCAAACTGGGCTGCTTCGGTATATTGCATACATTTGCATATGCTGTGGCAAAAAAATATTCGACAATGTATTGCTGTAGGCGATTTTGCTCCAAGGTATCGACTTTGTGGTCCAGGGCCGTTTAAACGTGGTTGTCGGTTTCGAGTTCGCCGGTCAGCTCAGTTCATGCGGCCGTCGTGCAACAGCACTTGCAACTTTGGTTCATTGTCTGCGAATATCATTCCGCTCATTATTAGAGTTTCCTGTGTATAGTTGCTTGCATAGTAGAATTCAGTGTTACTGTCGTGTTCGGAAGTAGTGATATTGTTTGTGCCCTAAAGCCCTACACCTAGGCCTCTAAATTCTAAGTCCCCCGCTACATATGAGAGTACACGCATATACAAAAGACCTGTTGGGCTTCGCTCTCCAGGCTTTTCTGGCCGGGACACTGCTCTGAAGCACCGCATGGGTCCTTACACGACACTTGGACTTGGAGAGCTTCCGGTCTGTGACATTCTTAGGGTTTGTTAATTCCTTGTAGGGTTTACATCATGGCTTCGCATTCATAGGAGCCCGAGAATTGCAGCCACGCCAAAACCCGTCGAAGATACTATCATCAAATGACCCTTAAGGCGGGCAAGTTTCGATGCTGCATGTGTTTTTTTTCTGTGCTTTTCGGTCTCACGGCCTTCGACAGGTGTCATGACATCTGACTGCCACCGATGGTTGGTACATGGTGTTATGTTTATGATCTATAGGCTTTTGATAATACTTCGTGCGTAATGCTCCCAAGCCATGACTGAGACCAGACTGCAAAATCCTCGACAAAAAAGTATGACCGCGAAGGGTAAGCAGAAGGCTTAAACATTAAGCCGGAGACTAACTGCCTTGGAAGATTCCCAGCCCACGAGGAAAACTGACGAGATCTTGGATCACGTGCAGTGGATCTCGGGAGCAGAAGCTGCAAAGCCGGCTACAGACGCAGCGCAGGGGGACGGCGAGCAGGAGAGCATCCGCAATCCTCACATGCGTAATGCGCTTTCACATCTGGCTGTAGCAGCAGCAGGGAGTATTTTCAGTATCGTCGTCAGTGTCACTAGCAGGAGTAGCCTTGTGGCATTTGTAATTACAGTACTCGCAAGCATTAGTATGTATAGCGAGCCTAGAGCTTCGCCACGAACTCGGCAGGACTTGGGCGCCCTCCTGGAGGAGGCGCGCCAAGGTCAGGCGCGCTGGGCGAAGGTGGCACATCAACTTTATGAGCATCTCAGTCCGGCAAAGATAAGGAATGAAGTCGGCTTACTCCGCAGCCCCCTTACCCCTGTCCCCGGCCTAGACCTGTGACTTTAAACCAAACCGTCACACAGACCCGATGCCCTGAAGCCGAAAGCTCTAAATGCAATCGCCCAGGCTCCTGACAGAGCGGGGTCTCGACACGGAAGCCAAAGCTCTTGCCAACAGTGGCGCCAGCCGCTGATCTATCCCCGCGCAATGACATTACTGCCACAGCTAACATATGGCAGATATCTGATAGTGTATAGCACTAGCAACGGTAGCAGCGTTCTTGTTGCTGCTACTTTACCTTATGCAGATTGATGCTGATTGTTACTTTTAATCATAGTCCTCGTCCTCGTAGTTGGTGCTGTGTTCTGCCTTCATGCTCTTCTCAATACTCTCCTTCAGCGCACCGTTTGCCGTGGAGAAAGCAAGCTCCGGGTATTAAAAAACGAAGCTGCTTGGTCGGGGTTGAGGTACAAAGGTAGTACCTTCGTTTGCTGGGGAGAGGTTTGAGGTTTGGAGGTTTACACCTGCAATCTTCGGATCTAGGGCCTGCTTTGTAGAGGCTGGCAAGGACAGCTCGGCCGGAGATTAAACTTCACAGACACTCCTAGCATTGGAGGGTAGAAAGACAAATTGCCAGCCTGAGCACAGACAGAGCCGCAGGCTGACACGCCGTGTGGCTTGAAAACACTTTCGAAGTTGCATACCAATTGCGAAGCTACAATCTAGGCTGCTGAATTAATTACCAATTCTGGTAGCCCAAGTAATTCCAATTAGAATTGACGCCTCCATTCATGTCCTTCATCTCTGGCATGCTGAAACTTGCTCGATGTCCCCGAATCAGGATTTTGGCTTTGGGTTGCCTAGGTCCAGAGCTTGGACTTGTGGAATACAGAGTGTGCGGAGGTTTAGGTGTTCTCTCGGACCTTACAGCCCTAGCTCCAAATGCTGAAATCGTGAACCACTGAATTCTGAACCCCTCAACCCCGGCACTGAACCCTACAGTAGACTGAAAATGCCATGGGGCTTCGGGGCTACTATGCTGTTAATAGCTGCTTTAGTTATGAGAGGACTATAAGGGTATACGGTATACCGCTACGACCAATTTCGACCTGTGTGTCCTCTTGTTTGGGGAAACAACTCCCAGACACATCCCTTATAAACCCATGCAAAAGCCCTGACTATCTTTGCCAGGCATGTAAACCCCTCCCTGACCGTACAACACCATATTAACCCTTGCAGAACCATGTCACACCCTCACATACCCTCATAGTATCCTACCGCCCTGCCAAACCCCTAGAGGAATGTTGCAAAACCATGTAACACCCGTTCAGAGGCCTGCAAGCCAGGGCACCAGGGGTCCAGAAAGTCACAAGTCACACTATCCTCGGTTTTTGTTAACGGGTCTAATTCAAGGGACCATAATAAGGAAACCATATATCATTTACTCTAGATCCCTTAATGGTAACTTAGTTTAAAATCGATGGTTTTTATCACAACCCTGCGATGGTAGCTAAAATTAAAACCAGGGTTTTATAAACAAAAACCTATGATGGAAGCTGAAATTGAATCCAGGGTGTTTTTGTTTTATATAAAACAAGCCCCATGATGGTAACCTAAAATTACAAATCCTTTAACACGAATCCGATCTATCGAGGCCATGCTCCTCGCCGCCGAGCACGGCCATTCTGATGCGACCCCCTCGGCCGTAAAGGAGCTTGTACTGCCTGCTAGCTACCATAGTAGCGTAGCCCAAGGTATTGTGGAGCCCGACTTTAGAATAGAATTTGGAGGGACTCTGCGAAAAGTAGGTTAGGGTAGGATGAGGTGCTGTTTTGAAGCGTAGTTCTGATATGAGGAGCATGGTAAATCGGCACTGTCGCTTACAATGTGTGATGGTATTGATGGGAGCGATCGTTGTAGGAATTGTGGCAGGATGAGAAGCTGTTGGGATCCATCAAGATCGCATGCTTGTTGCATTAGTCATCGTTATTAGCAGGCCTGAATTTTCCAGGTTTCGGTGGTGAATTGTGTTTGAGTTCGTTTTTGGCCTCAGGGCTACGGGGCTAAAGGGTGCATACAGGACCTCTGAGTAATTATTTAGTGACAACATCCCCTTGATATAGTCCCTGTATATTTAGACTACAACACTCCCCAAACCCTGTACTGATTATCTGCCCCCAGCCAAAAGAAAACCCATGCAGCAAGCCCGCCAGGCCTTGGCAAAGAGGGTCAGTTTTCGTCATCACTTGCCAGAACCCAGTTGGAATGCCACTAGCCAGTCAGTGTTTCTGAGCTTTGTCAGCAAAGCCACTGAACCAATCGACGCTTAAGGGCACCACCGCAGATGTCAAATTCGTTAAAGCCCTTCTGGCGGTACCGTCTCCGGAAACCGCCAAAGTCAGAAAATTGCTCAAGACCTTGGAAGCGAGGCTTGAAATCTGTGACTAAGAGCCCGAAAGACCCTTGCTGAAGTAGAGCTAGACCCCTCAACCAGAGACCCAGAGAACCCCAAGCCCTATGTCAAAGGTAGTGCAGACCTTGCTCTTCGCGAATGCTGAGTTGGACCCTAGCAAGGGCACCACGTGTCGCTGCCTTAGTCCGTGGAGGGAGAGGGAGAGGGGATGTTGGGCTGCCTGTTGAAATCCGAAACACTCTTTGCCAGCTCCTCTCAAGAAGAGATCCCGAGCTTCCGTGAGGCCCCGGGGCCATCTACCTGGCCGAGCTGAACCAGAGACTGGGGGTGCCTGAGGGATTGAGGATTACAGGATCATTGGGTTTCGGCTGTGCGCTTCTTGTTTTGGAGCTTGGTTTTGTGCCCACTTCCACTCCCATTTGCATTCACTCCCTCTCTCTCACACAAACACACACACACACACTCTCTCTCTCTCTCTCTCTCTCTCTCTCTCTCCCTCCCTCCCTCTCTCTGTTCGTTGCCGCTAGAGTGCTTGGAGACCTGAAGGGTACGCAGGTGATCATCTAGGGCCCACGAAAGCGCTTCGAGGGCTTGGGCATGCGTTTCCGGGCTTTGCCTTGTACCGGTTTCGCTGTTTTGGGATCTCTAACCTTGCTCCATCCCCTGTAAGTGCTACAAACCCCTTGTGTTAGATTGGCTCCAGGCTTGCCGGGCTTTATTTTGGGTTTGGAGTTTTACTGGCTTCGAGGCTTCGGGCTAGCATGCTTTTGGTTTAGGCTTCTTGTTGGGGGGTGCTGGGCGGTGGGGGGGGGGGGTACGTCAGAAGAACCCAAATCTGAAAATCCCAGGGCTGATTGTTGGGGTAAACGCTTCGCTGCTCAGGGTATTTGGGCTTTAAGTTTTTTCCAAATCAATCGTCATGGGCTACTCGCTTTTTTGGCAATGGGGGCTGGAGTTTGTGGCTGAGGGTCTGTAGCGCAAGGCTGGGTGATGGGTTGGGCTGAGTTCTTTTTTGTCGAGCCGTTTATAGACCTGTTTGTGTGTGTGTGTGTGTGTCCGCGCGTATGTGGGTGGGTGGGTAGGGGTGAGTGGCAGGTTGATGCGGCAATTCCGCGATCCTCACATAAAGAGCAAAATTGTACGCTACAGGGCGTGTTACAGTATTGCTGGTAATATGGATCGGTACCAATAGAAGTGTGGCCATCAGCAAAGCAATACTCACAGCAGTAGTATACCATTCCTTTTCTTCTGCTCTGTTGGCTGAACATCTCTGTTGTCTTCGTTCCGGCTGAGCAGAGATGAATCCACAAGACGACCCCAAACCCTGAATCCCGAGACCGAAACCACTATCAACCGGCCCTACGCTTTGATCGTGCCGTAATCCCTACTCTGTGTACCGTGGAATGCGCAGGTGTCCCAAACGATCAAGCAGTACCTCGAAGACCAGGAGGGCGCCGATGAAGAGTTCTGAGCTCAGAGTGCATGCAGGTGGCTTCAGTCACACTGACGTTCGGGGTTTAATCTTCAAGGTTTTGGCTGCAACCCGCAACCCTCAGCGCCGAAAAACAAAAACGCTAAGAAGATAAGACTTCCTGCTTTCGAATGTTGAGCTATGAGACACCGATAAAACAAGATTTGGATGCTTTCCCCGAGCAACGCAGCGCGGTTTGCAAAGCAAGCCCTGTGGTGCTCGCGGAACCCGCATTGCCTGCATTCTGTGCTCATTCTGCTTTCTTTGTGGCAGTCTTGCAAAGCAAGCCTGGCCACATCAGGGTGCCTGAGCCTGTCAGTTCTTTGGCCTGTTCAACGGCCAAATATCAGACGCACGCTGCCAAAACCTCGCTCTGGCTACAGGCTCTGAGGTGTCACTTTCCGTGGAACGTCGTTTATTCTGAAGGTCCGTGCAGAGGTGCTTTTTGTGTCGGCGCAAAGAGGCGAGATCGAGTTCAGAATTCCAGCAAAAGGAAGCTCGAATTCAATGCAACTACTGAATGCCGAATGCCATTACTGGCCTTAATTACTGAATGCCATTTCTGTCCTCTTAAGGAGCCCTCCTTCACAGTCATCCGGCTTTGAGACGAGCTGTCTCCGCGTCTTTCTGTTCCCAAAGTCTTGACGTTTCCCATCAGCCTCCAGCCAGGCCATGACCATGAGAGCATGCAACGGATGGTATCTCCCGCAGTTTGGGTTCACCAGGGTGGAGCTGGACTGGGACCTTGACATAAACCACCAACTTTTTACAAAGCTAGGACTTACATCGCAATGTTGATGTTTTACGTCCTTACGCTGATATGGTTGGCAGGGATGGTGTGGCTTTTGGATGCACAAGCCGATTAGGTGCAGAACCCCCAGGGGCATAGTCGACTCCCGGACCTCCATGAGCATTCAGCCCACCTCACAGTGGCCCAACCTGGAAACGTTAAAGTGTCTAAGACTCAGACCTTAGCCCTGTCCAGCTGCGCAAGCCTGCTGGTTCCTTCTCTTATCGGAGAACCGCTGCGAGATGGACAGGCGGCAGGGTCGTCACGCTTTTTGCTGGTTGCTGGTGGCTGTTGGTGCTGATCGGTTGTCCCGCTCTGTGGTAGTCCCCTTCAACCCTAAGCGCGAAGCACCCGGCATTCCTGAGGCGAAACATGCAAAAGGAAAAGAGTCCGTAAATAACTAAGATCTTAACCGTAGATAGACCGTATAAGCCCTTAACCAACAGCTTTCTCCTTCTCGCTGTTCCTGCAACTCACAGCTTCGGCCACAGGTTGATGATATTCCTGCTCACATCACAG